TGGTCGGGGCGATCTCTTCCGCTAATGGATACTACACATGATCCGTTTCAAATCCTGGAGTTGCTGCTCGTTTGTATGACATGCGAGCTCATCCACATGTGAATAATAAAATGGGCGACGCAAACTTTGAGCGACAACCCTTGCTCAAGCTTAACAAGATCTAGAACCCCGTCCGCTCCCCCTCCCCCCCCCCCCCACACACACACACACGCACACACTCTGGCGAACGTCCAAATCATTAAACATCTTCAAACGAATTCTTTGCTTGTGTCCGCATTGTGAAGGTGCAAGGACCACGAAGGGGGAGCCAGTTTTTTTTCTTCAATTCTTGAGCAAATGTGAAATATTGGTTGGAAGTAGTTCATTGTTATGAGCGCTAAAGATGTATCTTCACACAATAAAGTAATCGGAAAAGTAACGATTACTTCTTTAAGTAATGTCCAATTACTTTTGCCGTCGAGTAATCAAGTAATCTAATCGAACACTTTTTAGCCAAGAGTAATAGTAATTGTAATCGATTACTTTTTTTAGTAACGTGTACAAGACTGCATAGCACACACAAAAATAGAATGAACAAAATTATTGCCTTCAGAGCCTTATCAGACCTTTCGCTAGGAGTCTGCTGATGACTAGTTACCCTTTTTTGCAACGCTCAATAAGTGCCGACCAACGGAGCTATCAATTGTAATTCTGTTGTGTCTATGTTTATACAGCGGGAAGTTAGTCAGCTCTGATGGCATCTGGTGTCTTCGTTGGAGATGAAAGACAGTGCAGTATACCGCTGCTTGTTTGACGAATTTAACGTGCATCACGCGATAGTGATACATGACAGCACGACGGTACGATGCTCATCCAGACTGAAACGGACAGAGGCGGTGGATTGAATCCACGATCGTGAGCTTTACAGCTTGAGCTTTCGCTACACACGCTACCAATCCACGAGCAACGAGACATCGCGGTCGAATTCGAGCTCGAGAGAAATACAACAGCAACAGCAAGAAAATCTCCGGTTTGAGGCATTTAGTACTTGTGTCACCATCTTGTTTAACAAGTTGAAAATAAACTTAACAGGGTAATTTTATTAACACAAATACGCAAATACAACAATATTTTGCTTTCTCGTTATGGTCTTAAAATTAAGATTAGAGGCACCCCTAGTTCGTACGGCCAAGCGTTTTGTCACGTTTCTCTTCTAAATAATTGTATTTGCAAAAATGCCTCTAAACACGCTAAAAACAGTCAAACCGGTCATATTTCTGGATTTTATTCAAAATCTCCAGCGCTCTAAAAGAAAAATCCAAGGGTCGTACAACCTTCATTACGTTATCCTAAGTAACCTTCAAAAGAATGAATACTATCGTGCATTCCTGAAACTCAGGTTTGTGTAGCGAAATTTGCCCATTGAGTGACGAGTGGTTGAATCCCCCTTAAGGCTATCAAAAGTAGTAGTAAAACGTGGAATGCATTTAATTTCCGGGAAAAACTATTAATACGCTTAAATATTGCCTCCTACTTCGTTTTTTCAGACGATTATTCATCTCGCGTTGTGGGAATGATCGTTATTTGATTTTTCTCGATTGAGAATAAAAAGGGAAATGCTAACTGCAAAAAAATGTTCTATGTGTTCCAGAATGCAATGCTGTGAAAGCCGATTTACCTTATGGATCTATTATATCTGTTCCTAAACGTGTTCATTGCTTGTGGAGCATTGGGATTTAAGCGGCTAAGGTTCTATGGATTTTTCGTTGTGCAGTGACTAAAAACTCCTCGCTCGCAGGCACCACAAGCCCACGCCTTCCCCTTATAAAATACTCGAATTAAATAACCAAAATAAAGCGTTGAAAAATGCGCGTGCAAGATGCCATTTGTTTCAGGCTTTTGCTTTAGAATAGTTACTGCTGCCATGGCCTCCTCTATACTCACAAAGCCTGATAGTTCGACGACGGAGCCACGGAGTGCCCGGTCGAAGATTTGGATTGCGAAGATCTGGTAGCAAAGAGCATCAAAGAACCATTTCTCAGGGAACCTGGACGTCAGCGCACAGCTTTTGCGGTGGCGATGACCCAAAACACACTTGTTAGCTCGGGAGAAGTACATTTCGGCGTATCGCTTCAGCGGGGGTGAAGCTTATACCCGGACCAGGCGAATTTTTCAGAAGCTCACCAGTCTCCCAGCTGTGTTTGGAGATTTATGTTTGTCCTTTGTCCCTCTTGTTCCCCTTATCCAGGGTTAATTTTCGTCATTCTTGTCCAGCTTGCTTGCACCTTAGCATTTAATTGCATTATAATTATAACCTTAAATTTGCATTCTTCACCCTTGTTGGTGTTAGACTGGTGGCAGCTGATAAAACCCGTTTGCTCTACTGACGTCTAACCCCTGGTTAGCTCAGTTGGTAGAGCGCTCCACCTGTAATGGAGAGGTCCCGGGTTCGATACCCGGACCAGGCGGATTTTTCCAGACGCTCACCAGTCTGCCTGCTGTGTTTGGAGATTTATGTTTGTCCTTTGTCCCTTTTGTTCCCCTTCTCCAGGGTTCATTTTCGTCATTCTTGTCCAGCTCGCTTACACCTTTGCATTTAATTGCATTATAATTATAACCTTAAATTTGCATTCTTCACCCTTGTTGGTGTTAGACTGGTGGCAGCTGATAAAACCCGTTTGCTCTACTGACGTCTAACCCCTGGTTAGCTCATTTGGTAGAGCGCTCCACCTGTAATGGAGAGGTCCCGGGTTCGATACCCGGACCAGGCGGATTTTTTCCAGACGCTCACCAGTCTGCTTGCTGTGTTTGGAGATTTATGTTTGTCCTTTGTCCCTCTTGTTCCCCTTCTCCAGGGTTCATTTTCGTCATTCTTGTCCAGCTCGCTTGCGCCTTTGCATTTAATTGCATTATAATTATAACCTTAAATTTGCAAGCTTCACCCTTGTTGGCGTTAGACTGGTGGCAGCTGATAAAACCTGTTTGCTCTACTGACGTCTAATCCCTGGTTAGCTCAGTTGGTAGAGCGCTCCACCTGTAATGGAGAGGTCCCGGGTTCGATACCCGGACCAGGCGGATTTTTTCCAGAGGCTCACCAGTCTGCTAGCTGTGTTTGGAGATTTATGTTTGTCCTTTGTCCCTCTTGTTCCCCTTCTCCAGGGTTCATTTTCGTTATTCTTGTCCAGCTCGCTTGCACCTTTGCAGTTATTTGCATTATAATTATAATGATTTATTGCCGCATCTCTGAACTATCATTAGCCTCTTCCCGTCCGTTATTCCGCCAAACCAGTCGCTAAATCCGTTTTCGACTCGTCTTTAAGCCTTTATATTCGCCAAGGCAACGTTAATGATTGAGCATGCCCTTCCCAACTTTGCCGCCTTGATAGGGCGTGACTCCGGTGCACTACGTGGCTGACAATTACTAACGTTAGCAGCTTCACTCGGCGGCTATTTCGAGTATCGGTAAAACCGTGACCTACAGGAGCGAGCAAATGCCAAAATATGCAGAGCGTCGTCATGGCCGAGTTCAAAGCCAGTGGTGCTGCGCAAAGCTATAACTATACTAGATATCGGCAGCCTGACTTCGCACAGGAGTCAATGGGTTCTATATATTAAAAGGGCTTGTGGACACTTTCAAACGTAAACAAGAAGAGGTCAGCAAATTGCGGTGGGGTTACTCCCGGCAGTAGGATCCTCATCTTTTTGGTACTTTGATGATCATGCCAGTGGAAAGCACAGAGTTCTTGCAGCCTATGAATTGGAGGATGCGTTAGAACCTCTTCGTACTGTACTCATTCTCAGCAATTTTTTTTTCATTTATATTATCGTGAATTTACCTTTACTAACCAAAATTTCGGCGCGTTTTTTTTTTTTTTTATTTCAACGTCTTATTGTTTTATATAGATAAGGCAAATGTAAGAGGCCAAAAAGAACAGCGCAGCTCAAGTGGAGCAGTCAGCGTTCAATCTGCCGAGAAGCTGAGGGAAAGGTGGAAACGAGACGGCGTGGGGGTGTCAGAACACCGCTTTCTTTTGGAATGAATAGTGGATAGACGTAAAGTTAGCTGCCTCTATCTCCACTGCACACGCCGAACGCGCGAGAACGCGGAACGTTGACGTCAGGGGTTTTGGATCTCGCAATCAAAACGGGTTGTCCAAGTGCAGTTGTCACAAAGACAACTAGCTTTAGGTCAACCCACTAATCATTCTAACCACATATTGGCGTTCTGACGTCTTCCCGCTCTCGTCTCTTTATTTCTCGCAGTGTCTCGACTCATGATGTCACCTGCCATGTAAAGCCCATACCGGCAGAAACACTCCTGTATTTCCTCGATAAGACCAGAATTTGCATTTTATATATTTGGTTTGGTGGTCATTGTAGTGGACCCACGGCAGTTGTCGGAATTCTCGCACGAGTGAATCTAGACAGAACGCCCTTTTGTCGCTGGAGCGCCACATCGTCGCCTCCTTGAATGGCAGATTGGCCTGACAGTGCAAAACGAGCGTCGCTTGCACTCTGCGTGGGGGTTCTGTCTGAGCTCTGAGTGCAGCGAAAGCTAGGCTCGCAAGGTCGCAACCTGGAGAGGTGCTGGTCGTGTTTGCGGCAAGTGCGTCGAAAGCAGCTACCGAAGCTGGGAACTCGGTCTCGCAGCTTTAAAGGACCCGTGAAACGATTTTAACATCGAGAGAACGTGCACCTTATTACCCTTTTTTTGTTTACTTTAGCACAAAGACCATAAAACGCGACTACTTCTCTCGAAATGTCGCAAATGCGCTGCGTAACCGCAAAAACTAAAAGGAACTATTTCTTGACTTGACTTCACGCACGGCAGCCATAGGAACTAACTTTGTGACGTCACGGCGGGTGCTGTTATTGATATCGCTTTTGAACAAGTATATTCTCAGTTTAATGCTAATGTTTAGAAATGATTTCGTTCCAACATAAACAAATGAATCGAAAGTTTTATAATCTTGTTCAGCACACGAAGTTTTCGCAGCGCCATCTCTCCGGAGTAAGTCAAAGCATCCCCTCCCCGCTGCTCCGCTGTCTAGCAACGTTGGTTGCCTGCTACCGGACCAGCGGTGTGATCGACGCGGTATCAAAACCCAAAACAACGTTTCGGCAGCTGCGTGGTTCCTTTTCTTTCTCGTGCGCCTGGTTCGCCTGCCTGCAACTAGCCATTGCGAACATTCGCGATGCCCACCGGTTGCGGTGTTCCGCTCTGCCCCAACCGTAACCAGAAGAATCCCGTGATTCGAGGCAGGAACTTCGTGTACCACTCCTTACCCCGCGAGGAGCCCCTCCGAAGTGCGTGGTGCGGAAGCATCGGCAGGGAGGACCCCGGGAAGGCAGACGTACGCGTTTGTTCGGAACACTTCAACGGCGATAATGACTACGTTCGCATAGCGAGTGTTCTGCGCGATGCTGGACAGACGTTGAAGCGCGTTTGCCTGAAGTCCACTTCTGTGCCTTCGCTTCGACTGCCCCCCTTCGCGAGGTCTACCCAAGCAAAGGAGCCACCGTCGAAACGCCGAAGAACTCTGGTAAGCATGTTACTCATTTCAGTGCAAGTCAGATTGTCAAGGAACATTCTGTTTTTTCAGGGTGATGAGCCGATTGGGGACGCCGGCTGCTCCGAGGATAGTGCTCCGAGTGCGCCTCGTGAGCTCTGCTGCTCGTGCGGTCACCGACCAGCCTCACACGACGCAGCAGTTCAAGTGGACCCGGAGGAAGTGCAAGCGCCTACAAAAGCCCCCCGGCCGCCTGCTAGGAAAGACAAGGCTGTGGGAACGGACCCTCGGCTGGGGAAAAAGTCTGTCGGTAGGCATGAATATTATCGTGGAAATTTGGACCAGTTGGTTTATGATCACGTAAAAAAAAAAAGTGCCAAAAAACACAGGGACGAGAAAGTAGACAGACAAAGAGTGCTCTTGTCTGTCTACTTTCCCCTCCTTGTGTTTTTTGGTGCTTATTTACAAGGTGATGAGTATTATACACGATTAGTTCGACATTTCCATATGAAGACGGCGTTTTTTAAGTCGTGGGTGTGACAAACAATCCAGATATCTATAGCCTTTGTGGATTAAGAACAGCGGGAGGATGGAGAGGAGAAAATTACCTCTTCTCACCGATTGGTATTTTCTTCCTTTCCACTCTCCTCTCAAGCATGTACTCCGCTAATGTGAAGAGAGAGTAAGAGAGAGTTCTCCTGCTATTGTTACCCTGCAACAGACTATATAGATAAGTTCATGTTTAAAGCTCCCGGGTATCACAAGTGTAAATGAGACCGAACTGCAAGGAAGAAGTTGAGGTGCAACCAGTGCATGCAAACGCTTGCATGTACAGGATGTGGCCATAAAAACATTGATATTTAAAACGCCTAGCAAAAATTAGATTTATAACATGCACATCTGAAAATGGGTGCATCAACGTTGCTTCCCTGAAAGTTTTGTCTAATTGTTTTTTTAAGGGGTTGACTTGGGAGTAGTGAGTTACTTAAAATAAAACAAAAAGGCCGCAGTGCATTTTCTCTGGCCTATAGTGGTCATTTTCTGTCTACATATTGGTTTGCATGTGTTTCAGGGTGGCCTACTCAATGCTAAAAGCTTTTTTTTTAATTGATTGCAATTATTTTGATCGTTGTCAGTGTTTCCTGATACATTCTTGGCATTTTTGTGTTCAGTACGCCACCTAGCAGCAAGGGCTCGAGCCGCTGCGCAGACGGAATGTACTGCTGCCGTTTTTGTCCGATTTTTAAACATTCATATACTATTCAAAGTTTATGCCTGAAACAATTAAATAAAAAACTTGAGACGAAATGCCCTTGTGCCCAATTTTAGGTGAGTATATTTGAAATTCAATTTTTACTAGGCAGTTCAAACATGAAGGTTGTTACAGTCATGTCCTGTACAATCCAAGGAAGTCTTGCTGAGAAATGTAGCTCCCGCCAGGGCTCAATTTTCCTACAGCAGACACAAAGTGAGGCATAATGAGCAATCGGACTGTGTCAATCTTCCTTCCCTTCAGGCACGCAGGGAAACACCTATGCCAAGGTGGTGACAACTCAGTCGGCGCAGACTGAAGAGTTGGAGCTACTTGGCACCGCAAGTACCACCACCATCATCACCACCGCCGCCGCCACTGCCGCCGCCACCCCCGCCCCCGCCGCTGCCGCCGCCGCCACCGCTGCCGCTGCTGCCGCCGCCGCCGCCGCTGCTGCCTCTTCAGTGCCACCAATGAGACCCGCCTTAGCACCTGCCACTCCTGTACCCACGGAGACGGTTCGGACCCCAGTGCTAGATCATCCAGACGACAGCGCGGATCCTTTGTACGAGCCATTTGTGGAGCGGAGCTTCATCGAGTAAGAATGCTTTCATCCTTAAACTAAACGGGCTGATTTACGCTCTGTCTAATGCAACAGCACCAAAGGAAGTGAGGCCAAAAATTTGGCAGTCGCTAAGAAATTAGAATGTGTGACACACCCTGAATCAGGCACATAACCAGGATGCGCCCATGGCAAAGTGTCATAGGTAGGGAAGAGGGAGAGGAGGTTCCGAGACTGACCTGTTTCTAGTGGCACTGGATTATGTGTAAGCTATAAGTGCTTGCCCCTGAAATGCTAGGAAAGCATCAATGTTTTGTTAGCTTTGTAGGTTTTTAAGGAGAGCATGAGCATCTCAGTTTCTTTAGCGCGCTCGATTTGATTTGTTCCCCTATTATAATGTCGACAGCACACCTCTCGTGCTCAAGCTCACCTCTAGTTAAAGCTGTCTTATGTTCTGACCAAAGTTTTTAGACCAAAGGCATCTAGAGACTGTGCCAGTAGTCTAAGTTTAACGAGCACCTGTATAACAAACAAACTGTATTGACGTTCCACACTGATATTGCGTCGGAACATTGTTATTGCAAGTTTGAACTACTAATAAAATAGTGATAAAATGCAGTTAAAATTGTGAAAATAGTGCAAGTTTAAGCTTCTGATAACGTAGTAATATGAAATTTTTTTCTTTAAATTTTCATATCACTATTTTATTAGTAGGTCAAATGCTTAAATGAATTTTTGACAGCGTTCATCAATTTCGCCTTACTATAATTGAGATATTTATACCTATATACTTGAATGATTGGTGCCTTCTGCAATATGTAAAATATTATTTTGTAACGTTGCATCTCAGCTAAGCTAGTTCACAAGCCCTCACACTAGATATTTTTTCAGGGATGACCCTATCACAGGCGAGGAGCCAGCTCACAAGGAACGGAAATTCATCGTGTTCGAGAGCAGACTCCGACAGCTGTTTAAAGTCTGCAAGACCTGCTACAGGCCATGTAAGGTGTCCACTTCGACGAACACCACCCTTCTCACGGTTCACACACTCTGCCCTGCTGGGCACTCCCATCGCTGGGACAACATGCCGTCCATCAAAGGCAGGGCTCTGGGCACCCTGCTGCTGTCGGGAGCCATACTGTTCACGGGGTCATCTCCAACGAAGACGCTGCGCTTGTTCGAGCGCATCAACCTCCAGGGGATGTGCGAGAAGACATACTTCAACTATCAGCGAACAATCTTGTGCCAAGCCATCGAACAGGTGACAATTAATGAGATCAGTTTTTTCCTGACATGTTCTTGATCCCCAATGCAGTGTCGCTTTATATGTTTATGCCAGTATGAAACATTTCAAAACTTTTTGCAACAGGTGTGGACAGACGAGCAGGGCAAGCTGCTGGATGAGCTTCGTGACCAGCCACTGGACCTTGCTGGTGATGGGAGATGCGACTCCCCCGGCTTTTGTGCCAAATATCTCACTCCCTGTTTGTGGGTCACGTGAACAAGATCCTTCACTTCGAACAGGTTCAGGTTGGAGAGGTAAGGAATGGCATGCAATTACCTTATTGTGGAGGTGAGGGATGCATGAAACCACCTTATTGTGGAGGTGAGGAATGGATGGAACCACGTGATTGTGGAGGACTTTTTGGGCTGATAACCTTTTGAAACAGAATAGTACAGTAGAGCACACACTACAGCCTACTGCTACATTTTTGTCTTTGTGATACACACTTGAAGTCTATAGCTCTTCTCATCTAGAATGAAATAGGTGAAAATTGTTAAGGCTGCAGGTTACCTGACATAGGTACACTCATCTTCACAGTGAGGGTGAACAAGCTAAGTCGTTGGGTCGTCACCACCAGTGCGTCAAAATCATGCCAGCGGCAACAAAGGCACAGAGAAGGTGCGTCACCTTCAAAGGTGACGCACCTTTGAAGCGCTGCCAGAGGCAGTCGAACAACAGAGCTTGTTCACCCTCATATCTGAGGATGTCTGTACATCTGAGATAATCGTTGCTGATACTGATATTTGAAATATGTTGTTCCATTTTACACTGAATACACAGTGCGAGACAGTCCGCAACAGTGGACAGATGGAGAAAGAAGGCCTGGTGCGGTCCCTGGACTTCCTCAAGAAGAAGGACATCACTGTGCGGTCTCTGACTACAGACAGACACCGTTCCATTGGGAAACACATGAGGGAGCAGGAACCAGGCATCCTGCACTACTTCGACGTCTGGCACGTCTCAAAAAGTAAATGCAATTTGTTAGGACCTCATGCCACTGTATGCAAACAAAGAAACCATACTGCTTGCCAACATAGCAGAGTGGGTATTGCTCACCGAAAGTTTTCTGCAGTATCATATTTGCACTTTTTTGCATTGTATCTTAAAGTGTTTTGATGGGATGAAATTTGACCACTTAGATTAGGGCCCCAATTGATAGGGCCCCAATAGAGCACGCCTTACTACAGCAGAATTTGAGAGCCCATCACAAACCGTGTTCCGACAGAAAATTAACAAAAACATATTGTTTGTTTTATAGTATTGCCAGCCGCCAGTGCTCAATCAGAGCAGTTGTTGCTAACAGTGCATTTAACACATCTATATACAATGGTTACCTATGCAATTTGTTTAGCGGCATTAGGTCTTTATAGTCTGTCCCCTTAAAATATTTTGTCTTGCGGGTCTTTTAAAGGAATGCTGAATTGCTTGCTTGTGCCCTTCTGAAACCAATGTTTTCCCATGTGCTTCGTGAACTCTCATTGCTTGCTTCTGCTCATTTTGCACTGGGATGCCAGCACCATCCAATTATTGTTGGGAGGAATTGTTATTCGCGGCAAGAATTGCGCTAGGGGCGCTTTAGCAGTCCTCACATGCCCGTCATCTATTGGCTCGGTCAGAACTCGGAGAGCCAATCACAGCGACCACCGGAGGAAGCTCGGAGGATGACGAGGCCAAAAGCATGCTTAGATCAAAATATGAAGACAAAATTTTGACCTCGTCATCCTCACTCTGGGTTGCGAGACAATCTACCAGGTGGTGATTCCCAAACTTCTCAACGCGAATAGAGCATAAAATATGTTTCCGTCTCTATGTGCGCCTTCCTGTAAAGTGAATTATTCTCCAATATGAGCGGTGTCAGCAAGCCTATTCTATCTTCAAGAACTATCTTTATGCAGACTACAAGTTAGAAGGACCAGAAAGATTGCACTAATTTTGCTCGCTCGTCGAACTGCAGGCATCAAGAAGAACCTGAACGTGGCAAGCAAGGGGCAGGACTGTGGTGCACTTGCTCTGTGGGCACAGCCAGCTTCAAGCCACATCTACTGGTGCGCGGCAGCTAGCCGTGGCAATGGTGACCTCCTTGTGGACGCCTGGACAAGCCTAACCAGGCACGTCATCAACGTCCACAAAGACCATCCTGGGATGTACACCCGGTGCTTTTATTCGCCCATTGAAGAAGGCGAATGGATGGAGCCAGGTAAGGAGGCAGTTCACATACCTAATCAGACTTACTTTTTCGTCCATATTTGGTGTTTGTTGTAGGGTTGTGTGAATAGTGGATCGAATCGAATAGCGCTGCGTCATTCATAGCCTTGACAATACAAGGGAAAGCCCAGACAACCGGTTCTTTCAACAGTGCAGAAGCTAGGGATGACGCTGCGCTATTCGATTCAAGCCACTATTCACACTACCCTAGTTTGTTGCTTTGTCTGGCCTTTTTCAAACTAGGGGACAACCGGAGAAGCTCTAAACCTTTTTTTAATGCATCTCTCAATATTCCCGGGCTTTACAGGAACGCAATTTATTTGTTGTCATTTCTGTTGCTTGTGCGAGCTAGCCAGCTTTGACAGTCCTGAAAAGTTGGGGGAAAAGCGTGCCAAAAGTGGTCGCCATGACTACCTTACTCATGTCCGCGAGGGCTGCTGCAGGACGATTAATTAATAATGGTAGAGCACCAGTGCACCTAGAAGAGCACATCAACTCAGTACGTCACATCAAAATGAAAGTGGTACACTGTCTGGATTTTTTATTGAAAAGTACAGCAAGAGGAAAGAAAAATTATGCATTTAGTGCACTATATTTTGTACAAACATGTTTCAAAAAGCGTATTTTGTTAATGCATATTCACCAAAAAGAAAGGTAAACTTTTATCTGCACTTATATTCATTGATAAAAGCTGAAAATTTCATTTCCAAATAAAAACCGGAAAGGTTGCCATAATTGGAAGAAAAATAAAAAATAAAAATGCCGCAGCCTAAACATTAGTTACAAAGGATACTACCTTCAATAAATACAACAAGGTTTACCAACAACTCAGCGTAAAAGTACCAATCTTTTGGTAATTACTGTTTGCTCCGACAAGCTGAGATCCCATTTTTTATTGGTTCAGAAACGCCTGTCCATGCAAAGTTTGTGGACATCGTGACGAGGAAGCAGCTGCTGAAGGACCTGCAACAGCTGTCCCCGGACACACAGACTTATGCCCTGGAGTCTTACCCCAGTGTCCTGAACGGCTTCGCAGCGAAAGCGTTTGCCTTCAACACAGGAGGCATGGTCGCCAGGTATGTTGTAAAAATTTTAGGGGTCTAGAAGAAGATCCTCAGGTTGCCTGCCGTTTTATGCTAAAATATCATAGCCCAGACTTGTCTTGTGTGTTTCCTGAGTTTTGTGACAGTTTTGTCACAATGTCGTAATTTTGTACCTTAATCATTCTATTATAACCTCCTAATCAGTCACAACTGCAGTATGGCTGTGCTTTATCAAAATGAGTAGGTTTGCAAAGCATCTAACACATGTGCAAATATGAACACACTGATTCACGTGATGAAGCTAGCTTCATCGTGGCTGCGGAATGCTTGAGAATCCAACAGTAAGATATAGCAAAACAGATTGTTTGACCACATTCCCTATTCGTCCAGAACGCGCGTTGCAGCGCTCCACTACAACGAAAACAGCAGCAGGGGCCAGGCCATCACACAAGCGGGTGAGATGCAGTGGAAGATGGCATCTCCCAAGGCAAGGAAGGGACACCACAGCGTCAATCCCAGGATGACAAAAGCCACATATGGTAATATAAGAAGAATTCTACTGTTCAGAGATACCTTTACTTTTCCCTACAAAATTTTGATGTTTGGAGTTACAGTGTAGACCGCATATAACGTATGTCGTGGGAGTCGCGAAAATCCGCATTATAAGCGGTACCGCGCTATAACCAAAACACCAATTTTTCAGGCCAAAATACATGCCATAAGACAACTTACCTTTGTAAAAGAATTTATTTTATGTTAGATGAATAATAAAGCTTAGTTTGAGGAAAGTCTTCATTTCACCAGACTAGTACACCTCTCTCAAGTGTGTCACACATTTTGAAAGAAATGAGTGACTTTTGCCTGGCACAGCCTTTCAACGGCGTCGCGGGTTGCGGACGGACGTTGCGAGCATTCAGGATTGCTAACCCTAATCACTTTTCTCCGGCGATGAAAACGCGTGAAAATTCGCACCTTTTATACGGTACGCGCCAGTAATACCTTCAACTTGAGCACAGGCATGAAATGCTCCAAATAAGAAATCCGGACGATGTTCGCAAACACTAATGCTTAGAAAGCACCACTGCAGCCGAAGTAAACAAACACGACGACACGGGCGTTTCTGCCGTCTTGAGAGTGCCGCCACGACATCACCGCACGAGTAGGTGGATCTTCCCTTCTAGTACGTGCTGGGTTATCATAGCGACGCACAACGAAAATTCCCAGTCAAGGATAGCGCTTTTCCGCGGAACGATGAGCTTCCACCACGCCGTCTACGTCGACGATCACAACCGACGCTATGTTTGCGGGTAGAAGAAGCCAGCCCGCGAGCGGTATGCAACACGCGCGACCAGTTCTCGACCTGCAATTGGTCTGTCGTTGCGGTTGTTTCCAACACAGCGGAGGGACGCACGCACGTGAACGACACGTGCGTGCGTCCCTCCGTCGCTATGGTGACTGAAGCCTCTCTCTTCCCTTCTCCCTGCTTCTTCGAGCAACCTCCTTGCCCTGCGAGTGCCGCTTGCGGCTAGCGCCGTTATCTAGTGTCGCACAGGGAATCCAATCGCAATTCGGCTGACAAATAATATTTTAAACATCAAGTCGGGACAACACTCCTCTCGAACCCTTCCCTATCACTTTAGGAAAGAGAGATCCACTTGCATGGTGGGGAGCTGCCCAGCTTGCACGGCGCTACAGGTTTAAATTGACCTTTTGCCTGACCCTCTCTTCCGTCTCAAACTTCCTCCACGGAGTGCCAAGAAGCCCCCAACC